GGGTGGCCCTGGGCAGATCGTAGCCCCCATCTGTGAAAGGTCAGGACTGCAAGTCCTCGTCCTCTCTGAGCCTCAGTTTCCCTCCCTCAAAAGGAGACAAGTGCGTCCCAAGTTTGCGTAAGGGGCCACGTTACAGACGCTCGGATGTCCATGGCTCCCTCCACCATAAGTGAGCGGCCTTGTGGCCCAGAGCCTGTGAATGGCATCTTTGTGGTTCTGCTGCCTCTCCGGGCCCCTCAACGCAGCCTGGTACAGCCTGCGCCCCTCACGGCTGCCTCTCCAGTGGGAGGAGCCAATCCAGGGCCGGATTCCTGCCAGGCCTGGCTTCCCTGCCGACCACGGGGCCCAGGACAGCTGTGCCAGCCAGAGCCATAGGCTGCACCCCAGCACTGTCATGTCAGAGCCAAGGAGGGCAGGACGAGGCCATCACCCCATTGCCCTGTCTCCGCAGACATCCCTGCCAATCTCAGGCTTCAGGGCCTTTAGGTTACAAATAGGGAAACTGAGGCCCGGGCAGAACAGAGAGGCTAGATTTAAGCCTAGATTTAAGGAGGGATGTGCTTATGGCTCATCAGATTTGCCAAGAAATCTGTGACCCCATGCCTACACGGTCGCCCCTCGACAGGAACCAAACCTGTGGGTGTCCAGGACATGGCCGATGCGATGAGCTGTTGTCCTGGGCCGGAGGGATTCCAGAATTAACCGTGAGCTCCAGGCAGAGGGGATGCCTCTGCTCGGTGGATAGGAGTTCAGCGGGGCAGAGCCAGGCTGGGCTGGAGCAAAGGTGTGGTGTCCGATCTGCCCTGTGCCTGTTACTGAAAATGTGTCCGTAGCAATTGTTTCCACGTCTGTCGTTGTCCTGGATGACGATGCTCTGAAGGGAAGCCCGGACTGGCCTGAGCGGGCAGCTCAGAGGCCCCGCCTGGCCGTCAACCCGACTCACAGTATGGCACATGCTGGTCCAGGTCTCAGGCCCGAGCGTGTTTTGCAACGTGAAGCCTTAGTGGCCGGTGCTTGGCAAGTGCCTGGCTAATTAAGAGGACATTAGCACCCTGGGCAGAGGCCCGCTCCTGCCAAGATGTCCTTGCCAGGAGCAGGGCCGGATTCCCTGGCCACAAAGAGGCTGCTTGCTGGCTGGTGCCGGGCCTCAGCCTCCCCCCGCCTGGCCGCCACCCCACACCTGCTCCAGGCAGCCTGCACCCGCCCTTCAGGACTCCCCTGCTCCCTCCATCAGGGCCCACGAAACCTCAGCAGGACAGGCCCATCTCTGGCCTCAGTTCCATCTGTCAAATGGGCACGGTCACCCATTCCTCCCTGAGCCTGCACGGAACCCGCTACCATAAATGTGCATGAGTCCAGAGGTGTTTGGGTCAGCTACAAGAAACGGGGGCCTGCTCTTCCCCTAGTCAACAAGCTCTGAGCTATTCTGATCGATCTCTGACGCTCAGGGGGAAAGAATACCAAGAAACATCTTTCATTGGCACGGCTGCCTCGGCCACCACCCTCATCCGCTCCATCCCAGCCACCTGAGGTAGCCAGGGTGGCTTCCCAAACGGCAAATCTGATCCCGCCCCTTTGAGCTTGAACCTGTCCATGACTCCCCAGTGCCCAAAGCCCAGAGCCCCTGGTGATCTGACCTCTGCCCATCTCTCCTGCCTCCCCTCCTCCCGTCCACTCACTCATACCCCTTCCATACGGGGATGCTGCTCCTCAAACTCGGTGCCTTCGCACATGCTGTTCCCATTGCCGGCTACGCCCTTCCCTGTATTCTCCAGTTGCCAACCCCCTGCTCATTCTAAAGACCCCCTTCAAACATCACCAGCCTCCCCTGGGGAGGTTCAGGTCCCCTCAGCTGTATTCCAGGCCCCTGGCTCTTTCCCTCGCACCCACAGAGGGGTGACCCAGAGGTCAGGGCAGGCATGTTAACCAGCGCTGTCCAGTAGAACTACTGCAATGATGGACTATTCTAGAATCTGCTCTGTCCAATACGGGAGCCACCAGTCATATGTGTGGCTGTTGAACGTTTGAAATGTGGCTTGTGTGACCGAAGAACTGAACTTTTCATTTTACTTCGCTGTAATTAATATAAATGTAAAGCCATATGTGACTAGAGCTGTCCGTATTGGATGGCAATGACCTGGGCATCTCTGGGGCCCCCTGCCGCAGCCTGGGCAGCCCCCAGGAGGCTGGAGCAGAGTTTGGGGACTGGCGGGAATGAATTACAGATGTGACAACAGGTGTTGGCACCCAACAACTGTTGTTTGCTCCTTTGCCCTCCTGCCACACCGGTGGGCAGGGCGGTGTGTGTCCCCNTGGGCAGGGAACAAGGTCAGCTGGAATCAGTTTATGAAGAATTGAGGTCAATTTTAACAGGTGTTGAACTAAATTATTATTTCAAGGTTTTTTTTCTGAATGGACAATACACTCATGTAGTTCAACTATCCAAGAACATAAAAAGCCCTTCGTGACCGTCTCCCTTTCCCGTTCCACACTACCTGTTAGGCTTGTTTCTTGTATTTTCCTTTCTTTACACAAAGACAAGCAAGCACGGATCTGTATTCTTCCCTCCATTTTCAAACAGTATTTTCAGCCCTGCTTTTATTACCTGATGTATCTTTTTTTTTTTTTTGCTTTATTGGGGATCAGTGTGTTTTTCCAGGACCCATCAGCTCCAAGTCAAGTTGTCATTTTCAGTCTAGTTGTGGAGGGCGCAGCTCACTGGCCCATGTGGGAATCGAACCGGCAACCTTGGTGTTAAGAGCCTGTGCCCTAACCACCCGAGCTAACCAGCCGCCCCTTACCTGATGTATCTTAATACAGTCTGCTTCAGTACGGAAGTGGCTCCCTTGTTCTTGTCTATTGCATGAATGTGCCATGTTTAACTGGCGCCGTATGGAAGGACTTTTGGGTTCCTGCTGTTGGTACCTGCTTTGCAAGGACCCCCTCCCAACAGTGAAGCCCTCAACCACAAACCAACACTACGTATGTGCTTCTCTTTCCTCAGCTGTGGCCCACACACCATGTAAAAATTGAAGACTGTCCGGTCTTGGCTTGAACACCTCTGGTGATGGGGAACTCACCCTGTCTTCTGTCCATGGCAGGTATGTATTAGAGCCGGGACGCCAATCAAGGCCACCTGACTCCACTGTCCACTCCTTGACCTTTGTGCCGGGGTGCACCTTGGGGTTTCAGTGCAGACAGCCCCTGTCATCCGTGGTGAGCCTAGGGGATTCTTTGAGGCTGCTCGGTGGGGGGTAAGGAGTCTGTCTCCGCGGCTCAGAACCCTCACTCGGGAAGCTGGGTTCAGGGCTGGCTGAGCAGCCCTTCCTGGTGGCCTCATTTCCCTGCCCAGATCAGGCAGTCGGGCGCCCGGTGGCCAGCTTGGGAGTGGCTCAGGCCTGGCCCCAGCCAAGCATCTCCGTTCTCCCTGTGCCATGCCCTCGTTCCAGGGCAGCTCAGGTGGCGCCTGGGCTCCCGTGGGGCCCAGGGACATAGTGTCCGTGTTCCCGTCTTTCCCCAGAGGGACCCGAGGTGGGGCCTGCAAACAGGACCCTGTGACCTCGCCGGACACAGAGGTGCCCAGTGTAACCGAGACTCAGGAAAGGCAAGAGAAGGGAAGCGGCGTGGTGCCGATCAGGGAGTGACTTGATTGATGGCGAGATAGACGGCATCGATAGGTATTTAGATACAGAAATGCATAGATTTTATTTGTTTATTTGGTTTTGGCTTTGGTTTTATTGCTCTGCGTCTTGCCTCCATGCCTTGGCAATGCCTCCCATGAGCCCCCTGTCACCACGGCTACTGCTCCCACCCTATTCTCACTGGCATGTGGATGGTCATCAGATGCCTCCTGGGCTGTCATGTGGGCCTGATGCTTCCGGCTTGATTCTGGGGCAGTGACTGCTGGGACCAGCTGGGCCCTTGCCTCTACCTGCCCCAGCGCTGGGCCTTTTCACCAAGGCTGGGGCTGAGCTCCAGCTGTGGGCTCCCTGTGGCTCCTCCTCCTTACAGAAATCTTCCCAAGTTCCACCCTCCCAGCCCCTGAGAACCGGGGCCCTCCTGCTGGAGTCTGCCCTTGGGGAGCACAGATTTTGTCTGGTGGGGGAGCAGACATGAAATCAATGACAATCTTTGTGCCCAGGGCTTTATCTGCTTTAACTTCCCAACAAGCCTTGAGTCATCCCCATTTCACAGATAAGGAGACTGAGGTGAAGAGACAGGATCAAGCAGAAAGCAGA